TTTATGTTGTTAATGGGCCTTCTAACTAATGGGCCTTTTTTATGTTATGCTTATTTAAGTTAATCGCCCAATTAAGGGCCTCTTTGTAAATATCAAAAGTTGTAAATTATGTTTAATGAAAAGGGATTAGGGAAGAGAGAATTCATTCGATAGTCTTCTCTCTAAACCCTATTTGCCACCAACTCTTCTTCTTCTCTCCTCTTCTTTTCTCTTTTCTACTGATTTCTAACATCTTTTCACACCTTTTTAATCAGTCCTTTTATTTCTAAGGACCGTTTTTCTTCTTGGTACTAGAGCAGGCTCTCCTTTCTTTTTTTCTCTCTTTTTTCCCATACACAGTGTGTATGGAGAGCTAAATCGAATGAGTGATTGAAGAAAATTTTCAGCCCAGTTGCTAGTGGATTTTTGGAGAAAATGATGCTATCTTAGTCATCATTCTGACAGTCCTTGGAGTTTTTTTCCCAAAACCCTAATCAACTAGAGAATTCTATTTGCAGGCCCCACAAGGAGCTTCACCTTGGCGCTCAGTGATTGAGGTCCTTTCTCTTCCTCTTGAAGATCGATTCAAGTCTCGTGGTGTTTGAAGTTCTTTTAGAGTTGTTTGAAGAAGATGGATATCTCGAGAGTTGAAAACAAGTGTGGGGCTGAATCCGGACAGGTTCTAGGAGCTCTTGCTGACTCTCTATTGGCTGTGACCACAGTCAAGCTAGATGGAACCAACTATCTAGCATGGTCACAGTCAGTAAAAATTCATGTTTGCAGTAGAGGCAAGTGGGGGTATATCTCCGAGAGCAAGAAAGCTACTCCGGAAGATGATCCATCTTATGAAAAATGGATGCAAGAGAATTATACCGCCATTGGATGGTTAGTGAACTCAATGCAACCACAAATCAGTCAACATTATTTATGGAATTCAACTAAGGAAATATGGGATAGCGTGGCTGAAACTTGTTCACAAAAACTGAATGTGACTAGGGCATATAAGTTGAGGAGTGATGTGAATAATTTAAGGCAGGGGGAGAGACCTTTAGCCATTTACTTCACAATGCTGAAATCTCTGTGCCAAGAGATAGACCTAATGGAAACTGTTGTCTGGGAAAGTACTAATGATGCTGAAACTTACAGGAAATTAGTTGAGAGAAACAAGGTTTTTGAATTCTTGACAGGGTTGAACCCCAAGTTTGACATCACCAGACAATATCTTAGCCAAGGATATAGTATCATTGTCTCAGGCCTATGCCATGGTGAGTAGTGAAGAGAGTAGGAAGCTGGTCCAGGTTCAAGGGACCATCTCAAGTGATCATTTTGCCAACATGGGGCTGAAACCGAAGGGGACTACAGGCAGTTCAGGTGGTTCAACAAAAAGGGAAGTTGTGTGTGAGTACTGCAAGAAATCAAAACATACAAAAGATAAGTGTTGGAAACTGCATCAGAAACTCCTTCCTCCTCGTTTCCAAAAGAAGGCTGATAATGTGAAGACAAGAAGTACCAACATAGCCACTGTTCCAGATAATGACAAGTGCTTAACTGATGAGAGGACTGCCAGTGAACAGTTAGCAATTATGAAGGTAGAATATGAGAAGTATGGGAGGATGATCAGTCACCTAGAGAGTTCTTGTGTTCTTACCCAATTTGATACTAGAACCAAAATATTCAGATATGACAATGCAAAAGAATACTTTAAGAAAAACCTAACCTCTTATCTCACTGATTTTGGGGTTATTTACCAGAGTTCTTGTGTTCGTACTCCAGAACAAAATGGAATTGTTAAGGAAAAAAACGTCACATAGTTGAAATTGCAAGAAGTTTGCCTCACCTGTTCCTACAAGATTTTGTGACGTTCTCACTACAACCTACCTAATTAACTGTATGCCATCCAGAGTGTTGGGTTTTAAGTCTCCTCTTAGCCTCCTTCATCCAGATAAGGACCTTTTTCCTATTCCCCTTCGTGTCTTTGGCTATACTTGTTATGTACACATTCTGAGTGCCCAAAAACATAAATTTGAACTAAAGGCCCACAAGTGCATATTCCTAGGCTATGCCTCCACACAAAAGGGTTATTATTGTTTTGATCCAAACTCTGGAACTCGTTATGTTTCAATGGATGTTACCTTTGATGAGTCCACTCATTTCTATCATTCTTCTCTGGGGAAGCATTGTTCAAAGGGGGAGAATTTGTCACAGTTGTTTGTCCTCACCCTTCCTGTCCCTGTTGAGTCTCCTCTTGAGCCTTTTTCTATTCTTAATGAGTCAAGGGAGGAACAATCATCTCATGTTCCTTCCAATATTCCTATTCCTCCTCCATTACCTCCTCGCCCCCTCTTTAATCCCATGTGGTACTGGTGGCAAAGAACTAGAAGTGAGCAGATTGTTTCCTCTACATCACATGAGCCTCCTGCACTTCCAGTTACTAAAGAGGCAACAGGTACTAATACTATCCCTTTGCAGCCACCCTTCCTAGGTCTTGATGTCCCAATTGCTATCAGAAAAGGTAAATGGAAGTGTACTACAAATTACATTTCCAAACATCTTTCCTATGGTCTTCTTTTTCCTTCATATTATGCCTATCTTTCTTTTGTTGCTTCTAACCCTATACCCTAGTTTGTATCAGAAGCTCTTACTGTTCCAGAATGGAGGGATGCTATGAGAACTGAAATAGATGCTCTACATAAGAATGACACATGGGAAGTGGTTGATTTGCCTGAAGGGAAGGAGCCAATGGGCTAAGTGGGTTTACACCATCAAATACCATGCTAATGGCAATATTGAAAGGTACAAAGTTAAGCTGGTTGCAAAAGGCTATACACAAACCTATGGGATTGACTATCTGGAGACCTTTGCTCTTGTTGCAAAAATGACATTTGTGCAGATTCTACTATCTTTGGCTACTCATTCAGATTGGCCACTCTATTAGTTTGATGTGAAAAATGCATTCTTGAATGAATAATTACATGAGGAGTTCTATATGTCTCTCCCACCAGGGATGTATGGTATAGATATGGAGGGAAAGGTGTGCAAACTGAAGAAGTCTCTCTATGGACTTAAACAGTCACCTAGGGCATGGATTGAAAGGTTTTGGGCTGCCCTTGTTAACTTTGGTTACATACAGACTCAGCCAGATCATACCCTCTTTGTGAAGAGAGATTCATTGGTGGTATATCTTATAGTTTATGTTGATGATGCAGTAGTGACTCATATTGATGTGACAAGAATTAAAGATCTTAAATCTTTCCTTCATATAGAGTTTGAGATCAAAGATCTGGGGGAATTGAGGTATTTCCTTGGCATAGAAGTGGCTCGGTTTGAGGGTGGAATTTTTATCTCTCAATGAAAGTATATGCTAGACTTGCTCACTAAAACAGGCAAGATGGGTAAAAGACCAATGGCTACTCCTATTGATACGAGTCACAAACTTTCTGCCTCGGATGGAGAACTGTTGAAGGATAAGGGAGTGTTTCAAATGTTACTTGGGAAACTGCTATATCTTTGCATGACTCGGCCTGACATTGCATATGTTGTCAGCTGCATTGGTTAGTTCATGCATGTTCCTAGGGACACCCATATGGTAGTAGCAGAAGGGATTTTATGTTTTTTGAAGAGTACTCCTGGGAAGGGAATTCTTTTTGCTAAGCATGGTCATATGAAAATGGAGGCTTACATAAACGTTGACTAGGCAGGAAACATTGATGATAGGAGGTCAACTTCTAGATACTGTAACATGGTGACAGGTAATATTGTTTCTTGGAGAAGCAAGAAACAATCAATTGTTGTCAGATCTTCAGCTGAGGCCGAGTACAGAGCCATGGCTCATGGAGTTTCTAAGTAACTTTGGCTTTGATCCTTGATGGAGGAACTGGGTGTTGAGTATGATAAGCCATTAATGCTATATTGTGATAATCAAGCCGCCATCAACATTGCTCAAAATCCGGCAAGCTTGGCATGATTGACATCTGAAGTTTGTCTACCATTTTATCAAAGAAAGAGTGGCTTCTAGAGAAGTTTGTCTACCATTCATTACATTTGAAGAACAGTTAGCTGACATTCTTACCAAGGGAATCTCCAAGGCCAAACTTCAACATGACACTGGCAAGCTTGGCATGATTGACATCTTTGCTCAGCTTGAGGGGGAGTGTAGAGAGAATGGGCCGAATGGCCCATAGGCTGTTTTTATTTGTTTATGTTACTTGTTTATGTTGTTAATGGGCCTTCTAACTAATGGGCCTTTTTTATATTATGCTTAATTAAGTTAATCACCCAATTAAGGGCCTCTCTATAAATATCAAAAGTTGTAAATTATGTTTAATAAAAAGGGATTAGGGAAGAGAGAATTCATTAGACAGTCTTCTCTCTAAACCCTATTTCTTTTCCCTTTTCTTCTGATTTCTAACATCTTTTCACACCTTTTTAATCAGTCGTTTTATTTCTAAGGACTGTTTTTCTTCTGATTTTATAACTTTAATTGCCTTTTAAGAAGATATTTTATTAAAATGAATGAATGAATAACATTAGGAAATAGGGGGTGCGCCTTTTGAAAGGGCTGCGCCTAGGACCTAGGCAAGGCGAATACCCTAAAATGTGCCTCGCCTGCACACGCCTTTTTAAATCACAGTGTTGAGCTGGCTGTATTAGAGTCAGAGAGTATTTTTGTCATTGTATTCAATCTTATAATAGGCACCTAAAGAGAGAGGTATACTTGTAATTGTAACTCTCAATATGCATGTATGTACACACCCCCCCCCCCAATTATTCAACATGAGAACCAAGATTGATTCTCACCTCTTCTCTTTTCTTCTTCTCTTCTATCAATCAAATCTACTGCATACAGTTTTACTATTGGAATAACTTCAAGTGTTATAAACCAGAAAACTGATCGTTGAGAAAATAGTTGATGCAACGAAATACATGATGTGGAAACTAAATCAAGATATACCTAAGAAAGGAATAACTGTAGTATAGAAATATCTAAACATACTAATGACAGAGAAATTAACATGGCAGACCTGGCAATATAATCAATTTCATATCCAAGTTCAGCTTCCTCTTGCAAAGGTTCAATCCACGAACTAACTAATGTTCGGTATTTTCTGCTCAAAATCATGGCTCTTGGTGGAATAGGTTGATTATCTTTAGCCATAGCTTCTAATGCTTCAAGCAACTCAACAACCCTTCCTGATTCCACATATAACAAACAGTTCAGCAATAACGGAAAATTAAAAATGTAGGAAGAAAGCTTGTTAGAAACACAGGGTTAGAATCTCATATAAGAATTTTAGTCTCTCCCCAGTCAAGGTGCATTGAAGCTCAACTTTTATAACTGCTCACCTGAGAACCCTAGAATGGCTCCTAGTTCTTCTCTTCCAGCAATTTCAAATATTACTTCACTCTTGCTTTGCCTTCAAAGAGGGCAAAGCTTCAAGATAATAGGAACTTAATGTCAATTCAGTCCACAAATGATATTCCAATACAGAGAACATATAGGAAATTTTCAGCAAAGTTGCAGTGAAAAACTCATTAGGATAAATGGAAATTGGTTGGCTCAGAAACAAAGGAGAAAAAGAAGGGCAAAAAGGAGGAATTTTCCAGTATTTTGTAATTGATGGGGTCTATTATTTTTTATCCCCATGCGAAAGGTTATCCTGATGATTTTATTTTAAGCTGCCTGCCTAGTTCTTGTATGCTAGTTCTGGTGTTTCCTTCCGATAAAATTTCTTCTTTATAAAAAGATAAAAAGGAGTGGTGTAGGACATGTATGAACAGAATGGATTTTGTTGAGAATTTTATGGCTGTCACTGACTGTAATGGCTTCTTGAAAGATTAAGTAGATAGAGAAAGAAGAGAGAGGAAACTTGGAATCACTCTCAGGGTATGTAGAATCACCATAGAGCATGGGGATCACTTGCCATGTTAGCATAAGCTGTAGGAACTCAAAAAGACTTAATTGATCCATGTGTAAAACATTTATAGACAATAAATATTTTTTTTGATAATTTTTATAGAAAGTAAATATTTCAATTCAAAGAACACTTTATAACCCTTAAAGTACTTATTTAATGACTGAAACTGTAAACACAAACAACTATAACTAGGCAGATCAAACTAATAGGCTGAACTCCACAAATACATGTTAAAATGACCAAAATACCCCTATTCATAAAAAAGACTTGTCCTTGAGTTTTAAAAAACTTGAGTATGAAAAGGATCTTCACAGAAATGCATCTTCTTCCATAACCTTATTAGTTCTTTGCTAAGTCACCATCACCTTTCCTCCCTACTCTTGTGTAACCAATCAGCTTAGCTTTTATTGACTTCCATGTACTCCTCAACATAAACCTTCAGCTTTGAAGTTCCAATTGCAACATAGGAAACTTTGCTTTCAATCTTTAGTAGAGGAATTACCATCTCAATCTGTTGAATTGGCTTTGGATCTTCAATTAACTCCAAGATTGATTTCATCATTGATGTTGGTGGAATTTCAGCTATCATCTCAACTTACAACTTTTTAATAGGTTGAACTTCTATAACAAATTTATAGTGTGCTTCCTTAGCATCTCTTCTGCTATGTTCAATTCAGCTATGATATGTTCCTTAATAGATTCAACCAGTTGTAAGTTAGAATCCACAAACATCTTGAGTAGGAGATTCTTCCATGACAACCAATTCATAATGCTTTGTACCTTAAATTCTTCAACTTGCTCAACCACTACATCGTTTTGACTTTTCAACATGAACCTTGAGCTGATCATTTTTTTATTGGAAATGGTAATTTCATTAATACAACTTAAGAATAACTTTCCAGAGTTAAGTACAGCTGTCAACCCCTAAACAGGTGTTGAGCCCTGTTAGTGGTGTTAGTGAAGGGGTATTTCAGTCTTTGTACTTGTTGAGAATGCTGATGTGTACTGTTATGTTAGTTAGAGTGCCTCTTACTTAAAGAAGGGCACTCAAGTCTTTTCCAATAAGTCAATAAAATAATAATAGGTCTGGCCGAATCAAGGGATT